TCATTCTGCTGTTTGGTCAATTTGCATATTAGGCTTTTATTATATAGGATAATGTGGTAGAATATTGATTTTACTCTCCTCATCTTTTATGCTCAGACACACTTTTTGTCCTTTACCCAACTACCAACACATGTTCAACCACTCTTTCACTATTTCTTGCTTATTAAACCACTCTCCATAGTAATACTTCATTTATCCAGCTGTTCCTAAGAGAATTTTCAAGATAAACTTTATTCTTAAAATATTGATGTTTGTAAAAGTAGGTTATACACATCTCTACTATTTTAAAATAAAACATCTGTTTCTTGATGCAATTTAGGCCAATTATTTTACCCTGGAACTACTAAAATGTATAGGGATATTTGGGTATCTGGGTCCAAATTAAGTGGTTGTGGGCAGCTGCACTTCTAGAGTTCCTCTGTTAATGACTTACAGTTTTTATGGCCTTGGCCTTGCCTTCATTTAGCATGCTGCCACTTCTTAATGGAGCTCTGACTTCTTGAAGCAATAACCACTCTCTTTTTAACTGCTGCTAGGGTTGACTGTGGTTTGGGAAACCAGGCATCTTTGTTTGTTAGGACTGTTTTTGTAAAAAAGTGGACTGTTTGTAGATGGGGGACTAAAGAAGTAATGAAGTGGGGAAGGAGAATTAAACAATAATTTTGCCAGGCTGGGCCCAGGCTAGCTTATCCGAAGGTTCTGAGCTGAGATTACTGCATAAAAGACCTCGGTTGAGTAAAGTACTCATGTTCCTTTTCTATCTTACTCATCGGCTAACTAATCAAGTGTCTTCATACATAGCTGTTTGTTTGTTTTTTTGACACATATGAATTTGTTTACAGTTCAACTGATATATGTCTATGCATGTAGAAAGTTTATTAAAATGAGACTAGTCACCAAAAGAAAAAGAAAAGCTTACTTCACCAATATATGAGCTGTATAATAATGTTACTTCTCATGTGTGTCCACTGATATATATCTTTAAGAGTAGAAAATTATTAAAATAACAATAGTCACTAAAAGAAAATAAGAAGCCCTCTTCACACAATACAGAAACTATAACAGTGACAACCTGTTAAGGACTCACTCACCTTTAATAGTCTAGGACCGTGGTTGGCAAACTGCGGCTCCCGAGCCACATGCGGCTCTTTGGCCCCTTGAGTGTGGCTCTTCCTAAGCCTTGGGAGTACCCTAATTAAGTTAATAACAATGTACCTACCTATATAGTTTAAGTTTAAAAAATTTGGCTCTCAAAAGAAATGTCAATCGTTGTACTGTTGATATTTGGCTCTGTTGACTAATGAGTTTGCCGACCACTGGTCTAGGATATGTGCATTCATACAGGTTAACTGTGTTTAGGATCTTAGTCAACTGTGCACATGTTAAGAACCACTGTAAACCCAAACAGAATTTTGGAACTTTTTCTTTCCAAGCATTTTCATATTTTATAATAGCTTTCTACATGAGCAGATTATTAACACCTGTGTTTGGCTAATAAATCTAGATTTACCCCTAAACACATAATTCTGATAAAATCTAACAAGAAAGAAAAGAAGAAAGGAAGGAAATAAGAAAGAAACATCTTTTATATGCATAGTAATATTTTCTTTAAGCCAAAGACAGAAAGCACTCGCTAATTCACATAGCTTCCATAAAATTGTTCTAATTATACCCTACTCTACTTACCTCTGACTTATCCAAAGAAAAACTCAACTCCAAGCTGGCTTTCTGTGACCTCGAAGGCCTGTGACCCTGAACCTTTCCTGGTAGTCAGTATGATGTGTTTCCAGAAATTACAAGCTATGTTTATTATGATTCTTAAAATAACAGAAGAAATACATGAACAAAATACCATCAGATTACCTCCTTTTTTGAATTCCCTTTACCAATGTTACCATTTATTAGGACAGATAAATAGGAATTAGCTTTGGTGAAAGCCTTTCTGCATTTGTCTATATTATAAGAACTCCTGAAAAATATATACTTTTTTAAATAGACACAGAATCAGAGATTATAGTCCAGAATGAAATTCTTCCAGTCTACAGGAAAATTTGTCTTGGAGTATAAAAAAATGAATCAGGTATTTCCCTTGAGGCTCATTCTGAGTGCACATTTTGTTCTAAGCTTTGTTTGCTTTTTGCAACAGCATTTAAGAGAAAACCAACTGACCATTTACAACCCAAACAATGGCTTTAGAGCAGCACCATTAAGGACTGCACCTGGCCAGACTCAAACAACACGTCTGTTTAACCTGGTGACTTTCCTGTGTCTGGGGTCAGGCAGGAGCAATCTTGGTTGGGGGGAAGGAAAGAAGAGCAAATATAACTGACTGAGTGAGAACAAAACAGTTGCACCAACTATACTTTGTAATTACAACTGTTTCAACAGTTGTTAGTAGGCAAGGCTGTCATTTAAGTGACCCACTATAATTTGGGACAAAGCCCCCGGAAATTATGGCACTTCAGAACAGGAGTGCACTTCTGAGTTTACTGAGCATAACACGCCCACTGAAATGCGGAGTAGTCCTTCTTTGGTATACATTTACATCAAGGGAAACATTAGTAATAAAAGGAATTTAGCTAGAGAGGAAAAGAATATCATAACATTCACGTTTGGGAGCAGACCATAGTTTATTTTACTTTGGCATCTTTTTCATTATGCACTATTTCAATCATATAGAAAATATACAGGGAATAGAACCATTAGCCCACAAACCCATCATTCAGTTTCAATAATCAACATTTGGCCAATCTTATTTTACTCTACCCACTCCCCTCCTTGAATTCTTTTTGAAAACAAATCCAACACAGCCTATATTTTATTTTATAAAAGCTTTAATTTATGATTTATGTACATATTTAACCTAAAGATCACTTGACAAATTATATTAAGCATGGCGTGTTTTAACCAACTTTAACTACCCCTTTAAGTATTTTACACTAAAACCTATCTGCCTAGAAAACTAATTTGTTTGAATATAATTGGTTAATTAAAATGATAAAGTAACTTGAATCATAACCCTCTATTATTTTATTTATGGGGGGTGGGGGGGGGGAAAGAAACATTCTGAGGTTGAGAAAATAGTGTATGTCATGCAGTCCCTGTGATTTTCATCTTTGTGGACACTGATCAACAAGAGACAAGGTTAAAAGTAATACAGCTGGACTTGTCTGGATGGAGCTTAGAAAAATGGGAGGAGGCTACTGAGGGGCAGGAGAGCTGCCTAGCAGGAAACTTTTCCCTTTTCCTTCACCACACAGACAGAATAAATCAGAATGCCAATAGGCCAAACCTTGGAAGCTTCAAAAATCACTCATAGGCAGTCCAGTTACTTATAATAATTTATTACAGATCTTAAAGCAAAGATCAAAAGGAACTCCATCTAGCATTTATATTCAATTCCTCGTTGCCTGATGACTAATTTGTAGAGGAATGAAGTCTTCACAAGGGAAGCCAAAATAATCTGAGGTGACTTTGATACAATGCCACAAAGGATATGAAGAGGAAGCCGGTAGAAGCTGCAAATGGCCAAGTTCCATTAAGAGTTCTAATAAAAGAATAATGGAATTTCCCTTAACTGTGAATTAAAAAATGTTAGAAGCGGGCAAAATTTAGACAAGTCAGGCAAAACATTTGTCACAGCCTTTTGTTGTTAAATGTTAACTTTAGCCACTGTTGCATTTATGTTCATTACATGGCTTCATCTAAAAAAATGCAACTTTCCCATCAGAAATCTAGCCAATCACATTCCTCTTGCTTCCGTATATTACTTATCAGCCTGCACCTTCCACCTGCATTGTCAGATACTATGTGCTCTCTCAACCTCTTTCAAACAAATGGCCATATTCTGCAAACTGATTGATTTAACTTCAAAAAAGCAACTTGAAATGATATAATTTTTAGTCATGTATATAGCTATGGTCACGTGGAGGAGCATAAACATCTCTTTTAAAAATTTTTGGTGCTTAAGTCAAATTGGTCATGATAGAAACACTAGAAGCTATTGAAATCCTTTCAACTTCTATGAACAACTGGCATGATTTTCCCCTCCTGAATCCAGACATCTTCATATTCTGAGCTGAGGAAAGTAGTTTTCACACTACTTATTTTGGCTAGTTAAAAAATCCCCACCACATGTCTCCCTGTAAATTCATAGATAAAGATTTAAGTTTATATTAGCAATTCGACTGTGCAAATTTTTTGTTTGCTTCTGAAGTCACCTCAGATTAACAGATTTACTGGAATCATACGTGATAAAGAAGTTTTACACAACTCTCAGAAATCTCACAATGTATTTCCCTATGAAGATGTGATATTGAGCATTTTCTTTAAAAACAGTCATACGTGTGTTTTTTAAAAAAGAGTCTGTATCTTTTACAAATATAGTGAAATACTTATAAGTAAAGATGTCTGGGAATTCTTCAAATACAGGCAGTGGAGAGCTGGGGTTTTAAAGAATCAGAGCTGGCCATGGGCACATAAAGCTGTGGGACGGATGGGTAGGGGTCCCTACACAATTTGGTCTTCTGTGTAGCAAAACTATTGGCAGTGGATATTTCACATATAATGCTATGCACTGTTTTTCGCTAGGGTTTTTATTCGGAAAATAGCTTTCCATCAGGAGCAATGGAGAACCAAGAACTGGCAGTTAATATTTCAACTATCTGTACCAATCAAAAAGCCAAGTCCATCACGACACTGTTTGGTAAGAAAAGAAAAAAAACAACCAAACAAAAAAACACCCCAAAACCTATCTTTGCAGTCTTTGAGATTTCAGTGACAATATGTAACTAGATTTTAATGTGAATAAAATACAATTATTTTAGTTCAAAATACACATTTTCTGGTTTCTTTTAAAGACATAGAGTTGGAAATTAAGATAGAAATAGAAATGGAACTGGTAAGTATACTTTAAAATCACTACATACCAGGGGACATTGTGCCATACATTCAGAAAGACTTCTCTACCACCCAATACGCTAATCACATGCATCTCTTACCTTATGATCATACGGACTGTAAGAGTGAAATACCCGAGAAAGATCTTTTGTTCTTTGCTTTTTCTGTGGAAGAAAACACAGACATCTGAGTTGATAGGTGGCAAAACATACATGTGCACATGTACCTATATGTATATCTATCTCTCTGCATTTATTTCTCTGTCTCTCTATCTGCATTAAGATAATGTGTATTGAGATATTCTTCCTTGTGCAAGGTGAGGGGCTCCAGTGTAAACATGGGACATGTGGATGAAATTAGAAACCAAAGCCACTTGATGGTTATGTGGGTCATTGTCACAGGCCAGCCAGGCCACTTCTTAGAAGGTTGCATAATTACAACATTAAGCATCAAAAACTCTATTTATAGACACATAACTTAGAGACTAAGATGAAAAAAAAAAGGAAAGAAACCTCTGAATTTCACTGTAATATCAATTGCTGTTACTCTAAATCGGGCACTTCATTGTCTATTTAAACAATATACCTCCTTCAGGCCCCAGGTCACAGCTTGGGTCTGTAACTGTTATCTAGTTCAGGTGCCTTGCATGGTTTTCTCATTAATTTAACAAATATTTATTGAGTGCCTGAAATTGGAACTTTTTTCCTGCAATTCATTTCAATTTTTAAATGTAATGATTAGCTTTGCACAAATATCTGCCAGACTGAGAATGAAAGTTTTTGTTTTCTGTTAATCCTCACCCAAGGCTATATAATTTTCCTACTGATTTTTAAAAAGACTGGAAAAGATGGAGGGGGAGAGAGAGAGAGAGAGAGAGAGAGAGAGAGAGAGAGAGAGAGAGAGATGGATGAAAGAGACACATGGATGAGTTGCCTACTGCACATGCCCCGACCCGGGCTGGGATTGGGCCTGCAACCCAGGTACATACCCTTCACCAGGAATCCTTGGGCCAACGCTCTAACCACTGAACAACTGGCCAGGGCATGAGAGTGGAAGGTTGTTTTTTTAAAAATATATTTCATTGTTTTTTTACAGAGAGGAAGGGAAAGGTATAGAGAGAAACATCAATCAGCTGCCTCCTGCACACCCCCTATTGTGGATGTGCCCGCAACCAAGGTACATGCCCTTGACTGGAATCGAACCTAGGACCCTTCAGTCTGCAGGCCGACGCTCTACCCACTGAGCAAAACCGGTTAGGGTGAGTGGAAGATATTTAAAGGATAAATTATGAAAATCCAGCTGCAGAATCAAACAGTATGCATGTTTATTACATTAATAGATATAGCCATACTGCTCCCTTCCCCAAAACACTGTAATTTGCCTTCTCACCCAGAGTGAGTGGAAATTACACCTTAAGTTGGAAATTCTTAATTTCTTTTTTCCATTTAAAGGTTGTAACATTTCTAAATTTATAGAACAGATAAAACATTTTTAAAACAGATATTGAACATCTCCACAGGTGCCTATTATAGAATTTATTTCTTGTACATCATAGAGTTAGAAACTACCACATACTAACATTCCGTCACGAGATTGACCAGTTTGCCCTTAATTCTATCCCTGTGTTGCTTCTGGTTCTACTTTGTTGATTTTAATCCCACTACCAGGTAAATGAGTTCTATCTTCACTTGCCTGGAACCCATTTCCTAGGAAAGTATTTCCTTCCTTTAAATTCCAGTGTCTACCTGAGCGTGTCTGTGATCCCTCCCCAATGCCAGGGAATTAAGCAGATCTCCTAGGTTCCATAGGATCTGCTGCAACCACTTGGCTAAGTATTCAAGTCTGCTATTAATTAAGACCTTGTATCAGAGTCATTTGTACACACTCACAGTTTTCCCATAGATTAGTTTCCCTATTTCAGAACTGTCTTTGGAGCCACAACTCCCCTTGGCAGTCTGTCAAATCACTTGGCCTTGTTTCCACATTCTGAGACCCACTGAGAGTTATCCTCCCTGCCGCTCAGCCAGAATTCCCACCTCCTCTGGTCTATCTCTCAGGTGTGCTTCTGACCATCAAACTCTAAAGTAATTTAACAGTCCTTTTCCCCAGACAGCAGAGATGGATCTCTAACTGATCAGAAACAGTCCTTTGGCTCTAGGAGCTCTGGAATCTGTTCTTGCCACCAAAGTTTTCATTAGTTTATAATTTTCCCTTTCATTCCCATACACCCACTTAGTTGGTATAACAGTTCTTGGCTTATATTTTAATCAGAAGAAAAATGATGGATACTAACACTTCCTTTGGTAAGAAACTTAATTAAAACATGGGAAATTTTTTTTTTTTTTCAGAAAGGAAATTATGCTAGAGAAGATAAACTAGGGAGCAAAGCAGTCTTAAACTTAGGAGGTGTCCCCAGGTCTGTTCAGTCCCAGAGATGGTTGAGCTACCAGCTTGAGTTGGCAATGGGTATGGAACATTTGGAGTTTGCTTTGTGTGCCTTTGTTTGTGGGTTTTGAACCTATTTAGATAGCTAAAGATGCATTTTATTATAAGCTACCTCAAATTATTTGGGGAAGGAAATGGGGTATAAATGATAAATAAACACACTATTCAGATTAGCCCCCAAAGAAGCCAGAGAGGAAAGAATGTTCTTTTTTCTGACAACAATATATTATATACAAATACAGTGAAGTCTTGGCTCTGACTATTGAAGGCTGTATGTATTAGTCCAGCTTACTGAAAATTACTGCTCTTTTTCCTGTGATGTTAGAGTCATATAGCCCAGTGGCATATCTTTTGGGATCCAGAAGAGGGGTTGACAAATGATGGACCATGGGCCAATCCAGCCCACCACCTGTTTCTGTAAATATAGTTTTATTGATACATAGCCACAGACATTCAGTTATGTATTATCTATGAACTAGAGGCCTGGTGCATGAATTCATGCACCAGCGGGGTCCCTCGGCCTGGCCTGCGGGATCAGGCCAAAACCGCCTCTCCAACATCCTCCAAGGGTTCCCGGATTGCAAGAGGGTGCAGGCCAGGCGCCGCCTCTCCAACATCCTCCGAGGGTTCCCGGATTGCAAGAGGGCGCAGGCCAGGCTGAGGGACCCACTGATGCAGAAGGATGCAGAAGGTTGGCCAGTGGGGAGAGACCATGGGAGGGCTCCAGGGCGTGTCCGGCCTGTCTTGCTCAGTCCTGATTGGCTGGACCCCAGCAGCAAGCTAACCTACTGGTTGGAGCATCTGCCCCCTGGTGGTCAGTGCACGTCATAGCAACTGGTCAACCGGTCGACTGTCTGCCCCCTGGTGGTCAGTGCATGTCATAGTGAGCGGTTGAGCAGCCTTAGCATATCATTAGCATATTACTCTTTGATTGGTTGAATGGACGAACAGACAACCTGACACTTAGCATATTAGGCTTTTATTATATAGGATGCTTTCATTCTACCACAGCAGAATTGAGTGGTTACAACAGAGATTGTATGACTCATAAATGCTAAAGTATTTACTATCTAGCCCCTTACAGGAAAAGTTAGCCATCCCTGATCTTGAATGTCTATCTTTGACCATGTCTATGTCTGCTGGTAAGCTCCCCAAACCAAATGAACAACCAATTATCCAGTAAAATTCCTTGTTCTTTTTAATTGCTTAATGAAGACAGTTCAAGAAAGAATCAAAACCTATATCCTGACACATCAAGATGAACAACCAGCAAAATAACCATTAGCTGTCTTGTTTTCAGGATTTTACCTTCTGAGCATTCTATGTTCAGACAGAAAACATAAGTTGGCTGGTGTCTACAGCATGCTGAAATAGACAGGGGACTTTAGGAGCCCTCTGTATTCACATTTTAACTGCTGATGACAGATACTCTGAAAGGACACCCTTTACTAAGTTCTAGCACTAAAGCCATGTAGAGGGTTTCATGTACAAATAACTATAGAGTGTGACCATTATTGCCAGTGAGCCAGTTTCTCATATGAAGACAATGTTAAGTCTACTATGCTACAAAATAGGCTTGTTGAGCCTTGCTAGTTTTAACTGAAACCAAAAGCTGAGCCAAAAACAGAATAATTAGGTATTTTCCTATTGCATCATAGAGTGTGTCTAAATTACCTCCCACTTTTTAGCCTGTTAAAACAAACAGCTCAGTCATGCAACCACCTGTTAATTCTCCAAGTGTTTAAAAAGTAAACATGTTAAACAAGTTGTGTGATGAACCTGTAACGAGGGTGGCCAAAGTACAGTGAGTACATCAGACATCCCTCCCAGAGCTGTCTGAGGCACCTTCAAGTCACCTTGATCATCAATCCCCAGGCCACAGAGATGAGAACTTTTATTAAAAAAGTAACTACATGCCAAGTCCTGAAGTTACGTGGGTTGCAGTTTGTTTTAACAGATGAGGCAGTATGCAAATTTGGTGAAACTTCTAGATTTCTGACAAGCTAACCCTCTGCAGATCTCCATCCTACAAGTACTTCCTCAATTGCTTTTGTACTTCACTCTTCAAGGACAGAGCACACGGCTGACCTCTTTTATACCCATGCTTATACTCCTTTTCAGACAAACCTAAACAAAACTAAAGGCCCCAATCAATGGAGCAGTTCTAATAGTTCAGGGTTCCAGACAATGTAATCATTTTACTTTTAATCAAAGGTATGCATATCTCAGATCTGAAAAAGGCTCTGCATGTGACCAGCCGTGGGCAAACTACGGCCCGCGGGCCGGATCCGGCCCGTTTGAAATGAATAAAACTTAAAAAAAAAAGACCGTACCCTTTTATGTAATGATGTTTATTTTGAATTTATATTAGTTCACACAAACACTCCATCCATGCTTTTGTTCCGGCCCTCCGGTCCAGTTTAAGAACCCATTGTGGCCCTCGAGTCAAAAAGTTTGCCCACCCCTGGAATAGACATTTTGAAGATGAGGTTATACCATCAATTAAATTGTAACAATATCCTCCAATTTAACTTCTCCTGGTTCCCCAAACTAATTCAATGCTTTCTGTGCTCATTCTCTACTTGTAGATTAAAGCTTTCTCAAATAAAATAGTATTGTAAGGCAAAACAATAACACTATGGACTTCATTTCTACATATGGATTTTCAAAAAGTGATAAAACCTACATATGAGCTTTCAGAGAGTTTGATATGCTTACA